AACTTCAGTAAAAATTAATCCAAGAAACCAAGCTAAAACAGGATTTTATTACTTTTATTAATAGCATTACTTTTAAGTTGAATAACACATACACTATTAAAGAAAGCAATTTTGTTTTAGCATGGTTTTTACATGCATTTACAAAAAGCTTCCAAAATTTTATCTAAAATGAATGCATTTGCTATTACTTTAAAAGAAACCATGCTAAAACATTGCTTTATTCAAAAACATTATTTTTAAAATTTTTTTTATCATTTAAGTGAAGTAATGTTCATTTGCATACTCGGTGTAGTTAACGCAATTTACAAATTATTCGAATTCTTTTATTTAGAATTAGCATGATTTTATTAGCATATTATGTCCAAACAAGAGCTTTAGATGTTATAATTTTTTTTTGCTTCAGGTTTTTTTAATATTTAAAAAAACTTTTTTTTTTTTTATATAATTTCCAAAACACTTTTATTACCCCTAATTGTCAATCTAAAGAACACCATTTTGGAATTTTAGATCACTTTTACTCATCGGTGTTAACATGAAATTAGTTCAAATCTTTTGAAAAAGTGCCTTAACACACTATAGGTCCTTGTTCTCATTGGTTCAGACGTATATTAACTATATATAGTTGTTAAAATACAATATTTCTATCAATTTTCACAAGATATACTAGAATTCTGACCCAGAAAAAGCATATAATTAAAAAAAATTACCAATAAACAATCAGAACAGATCATATTATTAAAGTGCGATGTTGATTTTACCTAAAAAGCATGTTTATTTAGAATCTTATTCAAATTTGGACAGGCGATCGTGATTTTAAGAAGATCGTGATTTTAAGAAGATTTAAAAGAAAAAAAAGATTATTCTATCTGTTTCGCTAAAAACATTTTTATTTTATGAACCGCAAAATTTATCATTTTATCTTTTTTTGTCTTTTCATAATTCACAGACCTAATCATTTAATGGAAATATCTGGTAGTCAACAAAATATGATACAGGCGTTATATTTTAAGATTGCCTTAACTACACCGAGTTTAAAAACACTTTAAAAAGATTTGAAAATAATTTTCGAATTTTACTGAAATATATATAATCTAATAGAATATATAGAATTTTTTTGTTTATTATAGTTTAATTTATTTTTATAGTAATATAGTCATATTTTTAATATTAAATATTTCATATTATCAATAAAATAATAATTTCATATTAAGTATTTAATAATAACTTAATAAATACTTAATGTAATAGTATTATTTTTTAAGGTTTATAAAAAGAAAAGTCAATACAACTTCTATTTTATTTTAGTTTCCTTTTATTTTAATTTCCTCATGTTAATATGTTTTTTTATGATTAAATAAATTTAACAAACTAAATTCAAAAAATTTTGTATTAATAGATAACCATTTACAATCATTAAGTTATTGCATATTATCAAGGCAGTTTTCCACAAGACAACATTTTTTCGCCGATAAGCATGCGCAGATAAAAGAGTTTCTAATATTGCTGATCAATTCGCTGCAGCAAAAAAAAAAATCCATTGTTATGAGCAAAAATCATATTTTAATAGTATATCACGTAAAATCAACAGTAAAAAAAAAAGCAAAAGCATTCTGCTCCTTTAAAATGGCAAAAACATATAAAGAAAACATATCAATAAAGACACGACCGCCAACGTTTATTAAAAAAAAATGTTGCGTTTTGGGTCCTAGCACTAATCTATGTGGTTCTCCACTCACGGCATTTTCCCATTCTGATTTATTATCTCCTATCTTTAAAGTCTGTTTTTTAAAAATCCGTGGCACCAGTCTAATAATTTTGATTTAAAAAAAAAAGAGTTAGAATTCAATTTTAACAGTAATCTTTTGAGATCAATTGAATCAAATGCTTTGGCAAAGTTTAGAAACAAAATTATTTCATTCCAACCTATTACATCCCAATCACTATTAATTGAACTTGTAATAAAATATAGAGATTCCAATAAGTTCATCACAAATTTTTATTATTAATAAATCCATGTTGGTTTTTATTGATTAATTTATTTTCTACTAAATATTTTTTCATTTTATCTTTAATTATCAATTCTATGACTTTTCAAACTACAGATGCAGACAATTTTAAAGATACAGGTCTATAGTTGCACCTTATAGGTCCAACTTGTTACAATTTTTAAACAGTGGAATAATATTTAAACATAGCCATAGTTTTGGAAATTTACAGGTTTCAAATGATTTATTAAACAATAATGATAGTGGTTTGGCTAAAGCAGATTTGCACTCTTTTAGAACTTTTGGATGAACTTTGTGCACTCCAGTTGCTTTATTAGTACCCAGTTTGCCTAAATATTCCTCTACAACAAAGGCATTAAAATCTGGATTTCTACAGATTTTTTGTGTTTCTATATTCACGATTGGAGCAGATGAGGCTTGTGGTTTATTTAATACTGATGCAAAGTATCTATTCAATGTATTTGCAATTACTTTTAAATCAATTTTGATACTACCATTTTTTATTTGGATTGCTCTTATATTGTCTTTGACTATACTTTTATTAATAAAATATGAATAAACTTTTTTGAGGTCTAACTTTGAATTTAAAGCAAGATCATATTCTCTTTCTTTTTTTTAATCTTATTCAACTCTTTGTATTTTACAAGTAAACAATTGTCTCTGAATTTCTGCCCATTTGAACCAAACGTTTCTCTTTTCTTTTGACAATGCTTTTAATTCTTCATTAATCCAGAGAGGCTTTGTGTTGGTTTAAATGCTTCTTGGTTTTATAACTAGAATTAAAAGTTTACATCCTTCTTTAAAACAGCTTAGCCAGTTTTAGTAACATTAGTTTATTTCCAAGCCTTTCAATTAATCATATCAGTTTAGGATTTTAAAATAATTATTTAATTCATCAAAATTCCCTCAATTGTTGCTAAATTTATCTTTTTTAAATACAATGTTGTCAATACACTCTTCATGACTGTAGTTAAATTTAATAATGTGATGGCTTTGGTTAACAACTTTCAATGGTGGAATGTGTTCAGTTGTTTGATTGATTATCCAGTGGTTACTGGATAATCAAATCCAATACAGTTGTTTCATTCCCATTGTTATTTTGAAATGTTAGCTCTATCACATTCTGATCCATGAAGCAATTGTTTAAACATTCTAAAAATTAATTTTGGATGATCTATCAGGTTTACTAATTTGTATGTCATAATAATCTTCTGCCCACATGATTGTGTTGAAATTAAAATCCCCAAAAATAAGGATTCCTGTATATTTATTTGATAAATTTATTGAATGAGCAATATTAATAGACTTTGTTATGTTGATACAGTTACTTATGTTGCTAATTCTGATTATCTAAATACTTTCACATAATATTTTTTCACTTTATAAATCAATAATGCACCAAATCTGTTCTATATTAGGGTCATTTAAACATTTTATGAAATTTCACATGCTTTTTTATATTGTTTTCTTTATATACACACACTCCTCCTCTACCAACATCTCTGTTTCTTTTAAATAAGGTTTATCTATTGATATTACTATCAGTTACTGACTCATTATTCCACCAAGTTTCAGAAATCATATTTACATTAGCTTTATTTGAGTTAATCACTTTGATTAGATTTTCAAACTTGTTGTTTAATAAAGTTACATTCATGTATAAGAGTGTTGCGTTCATGTATAAGCATGTTGTGTTCATGTATAAATGTGTTGGGTTCATGTATAAGCGTGTTGCGTTCATGTATAAGCATGTTGCGTTTAAGTATAAACACATTATTTTTGTCGAGTTTTGATATTAAACTTGGTGGTGCATTAGTTTTTTTAGTGTTTTGGTTTCAATTTTCTGGAACATATCGTTTTTAATATTAAATCAAAATGTCAAACATTTATTTTCCTCTATTTTATTTATTCTGTTTCTTTTACCAAGTAATTTAACAGTAGCTTTTTGTCTATACGTTAGGTCTGGATTGATAAATAGTTTATTTTTATATTCGTCTACTTTATTTAAATCTCTAGCAACACTTCTAACTTGTTTCTGTTATGATGAATCAATTAGTTCAATAAGTAGTGGTCTTGGTTCATTTTTGTCTCTACTGTTTAACCTGAAATGTTTGACAATACAGGATTTTTCTAGTCTAATAGCATCAAACACTTTTCCGATATTTTCATCATCATCTTCTTTAATTTCATCTTTGCTTTTTTGTGTCGATTCCTTTAATCCAAACTTTTCCTTTTTATTCTATGGATATGTTGCTCAATATCTTTGTTAATCCAGAAAGTTATTACAAAATAAAAAAAAAGTTAGACAACATATATATATAGCTTAGGGTTGTCTTTTGCTAAATAATAACATTCTTTTTAATTGTTGTAACTATTTTTATTTTCTAATTATAGTTTACTGAACCTTGTCAGCTTAGTAGACGTCAACTGGCTTGTTCTCAAGTTGATAATTTACAAACCCTTCAAAAACTGTCAACAATCAGAAATAAATATTCAGTGCATTTCTGACATCAGTGTAATCTTCTTTAACATCTTCACTTAAACCTTGTTACCTTCCAGACTAGAACAATTGTAGTACCACATGAAAATCATCCACTTTTTGAAGCTTTGTTTTATAAAGGTATAAAAATAAAACTTTTTAATTTTTTTTTTTTTTTTTTTTTTTTTTATTGTTATCTGTAATTTGCAACTTTTTAAATAATCAATTGATGTTTTGCTATAAGTTCCAATTTCTGTACATTTATCAGAACCATTTCATTGACATGCAATAAAGTTGTATATTAAATGTTTTTATAGTTTTAATAATTTTTATAATTTTATGGTTGAAAAATTATTAGTAAACATTTTTTACAACTTTTATAAAACATCTAGTAGAATATAAAAACCTTACATAAGTAAATCAAAAGTATTTTGTAATAATTTAAAAATTTATGAAGCAATCTTTAAAGTTATTATTATCAAAAATAATAGAATATTGTTGATTTTTTTTTATAGTTAAGGATTGAAATTGAGTCACAAATTAAAGCTTTCATAAACAAATATTTGCATATACCTACCCATGTAGATGGCCATCAGCATGTTCATGTCCTGCCTTTAGTTCGTGATTTATTTGCTGAACTTCTTCAAAAATATTCAATTAAAGAAACACGAATTCCATATGAAATAGGTATAATTGATTGTGAATGGATTGAAGAACCTCGACTACAGTTTTATAAAAAAGTTTGTGAAGATGCCCTGTTGGCAAAAAAAGTTTTTAATGACTATGGTATAAGGTAAGGCATTATGCAATATTGTGTAAACTGAAATAAAACATAAATTTCCGTTTACACGAAATAATATTATCTAAATACAGTTAAAGTCTATGCTTTAAAGATTAAGGTCTATATATTACTAGTGTGAGTAACATCTAATTATTTTCATTCTTTCAAGTTTTCTGTTATATCAATCTATTCTTTATTATAGTAATGATAATTACACAGCATACAGCACTTTTTTCATTTATTTTTTATTTTTTTATTGTGCTGATTCACTTTTATTATGGCTGCAAGCAACCGCTATTAAGTTGGGAGTTACTGGGGGAAAAAAGAATAGAGTTATAGAGCAAGCCAATGGTTGACAGAAGACTTGATATGGTTGTATGAGTCAGAAAAACATGAAGATGGAAGAGATTTTCAATAGGTTGAAGTGCGGGGATAAAAACTAGACAAAAGTTTTTAGTGCATGCAGGGACAGATACAGTTAAAGAATGAAATTTGCTTAATGACGAGTCAAGCAAGAATGAGTTTTAGTTGATGAACAGCAGTGACCACGATAGTATTTGTAGAAAAGATAAAGAGATACCACTACACCTCTTCACAATTGTTATTTTTAAAAAAATCGAAAATTATGGTAGAATCAATTTTTTGTTTTACTAAAAAAAATTTAGAAATTTACACAAAGCAATATATTTTAAACTAAAGCATTTTAGGCTTGGAGTAAGTAGTAATTTTGCACTAATTAGTGTAAAATATTAAAACCATATTTTGGTAGCATCAAAATATATATATATATATATATATATATATATATATATATATATATATTTTTATATTAAAGTTCTGGTCTTGTATATCAAAATACTGGTTTTGTATCAGGGTGTTAGCCAGTTATATTTTTTACCGCGTTTTTGTGATATTAAACATGTTTATTGTTATTGTAATACTAAATATTGTGAATTTTGATATTGTCTTATTACTTAAAAAAAAAAAGTCACTGAATTTTGGGAGTTTTAAACCCATTGGGAATTGTGCGTTATACGCGGTGCCGTTGCGCTGGCTAACACCCTGTTTATATTTAAGTCTTTCTTGTATATAAAAGTTTAATATCTTAAGTCTTGTATATTTAAGTTCTAGTCTTAATTTTTACCTTCTCCACTATCATAACTTACTTTTTTAAATAATTACCTTGCATACACTTACTGTTATATGATATTTCTTCAACTTACAAGGGATGTAGTAAAAAAAAGTTTATATTATTTATATTATAGTATTATAATGTTCAAAAATTAATTAAAAGTTAAATTATCATTAAGTTAAATTATCATTAAAATAAAAGTTAAATTATCATTCTTTATTATTATTTTATTTTTTTCAGCTTTTCAGATTATTTCATTGGTTTAACAACTATGTCACATGATTTTACAGAAGTCCATTTTATGATCGCTATCAAAAAAATTAAGGAAGACCTTATAAAAAATAAAAAGATACGTGATAATATATCCATAGAGGTTATGGTACATCCTGGTTATGCAAGTGAAAACAATGATGGCGGATGTGGTGGAGGTCCTGACTCCTTTTCTTTATCTAATGACAGAGAGTTTGAAGTAAATGCTCTAACTTCAAAATGGTTTAAAAATTTTTTAAGCTCAGAACACATGAATTTGTTATAATTTTTATAATTAATTCATTATAATATTAAAAATAAATTTTTATTATATTATTTAGTTTTAAATGATTTTTTATAACAATACTTTATATATTTCAGGTTATTATATTGTATAAGTTTATTGTCACTGATAATACTTATGATTTTTTAAGTATATATCTTTAGTTTCATTGTGATAATTGATTTATTATTATTATATTTTATTTTTAACACCCGAGAATCGAAAGGTAAATTCAAGTAAAATTATGTAACATAACAAATCTATTTGAAAAGAAAAATAATTTTTCAAGTTTCGAACCAAAGTGTAGCCTGAACCTAGTGCTATTCAAAATAATTGCTTTTTGCGATTGTAATTTACTTTAAAACATTAACTTATACCCCGTTCATACTGACGTTAAAACACGTTTTATTTTAACGCGTTTTATGTTTTTGATGTTCTAAACTGTATAAAACAACAATAAAACAACATGGCCAATTTGTTTTATTTTAACCTTTTTATATTGACAAAACCTTCTAGTATTGTTTTATTGTTGTTTTATACAATAACAGTTTAGTAAGCTTTTAAAATAAAACGTGTTTTATCGTCAGTATGAACGGGGTATAAGTTAATGTTTTAAAGTAAATTACAATCGCAAAAAACAATTATTTTGAATAGCACTAGGTTCAGGCTACATTTTGGTTCGAAACTTGAAAAATTATTCTTTATAATTAAACAGTGAAGTCATCTTTCATTGTTTTTTCTAATAGACTAGACATTCCCAGTGGGGACGACGCGTGCCCATTTTAGGGTTAGGGCAATTTGAAAATGCCGCACAATCAAATTATTAATATTTTTTAAATAAATCTAAAAAAACACGATATTTAATTTTTTAATTATGACATTTTTTTACGAATATTTATTTATATTATAATATTCTATATATTGTTATATATTAAACTATTATATATATTATATTATACAAATAATTCCAGTTAACCAAAAAAAATATATAACCAAATAATAACCAAAAAAAAAAAATGCAAATTTAAAACAAAGTATATTTAAAATTAACGAAATATTACACGGTTAGCACGGGTCCTTATAATGCCTACCTAGCTGTCCCAAGAACGCCACTTAAACGAAAAGTTAGCGTACACATCAAAGTACCCTGTGATGTGTACTAAACTTTGAAATCATTTAATTTTGTTCGCGGAAAATAATTTAATTTGAAAATGTTCAAATTAAGTCAAATTATGACTTCATAGTGCGCCAATAAAAACGCTTGTAGAATTTGAACCACTCAATGTAATTTGATAAAAATTGGTGAAAATGTAGCCAATAGTCACACCAAACTCTGGACAAAATTTCAGCCTGATTGGATGACTGATGTAGGATTTATTGCAGTTTTAGTTGAAGTTTTGTCAGTTTTTTGCTACTTATACCTCAAAGCGTTAGCGATTACTTTGAAATTCGATCACTATTTTTAAAATAACGGTTAAATGAGTGTTCTACTGTGTATTATCAACAATTTTTATTATAATTATTTTATCGGTACATGTGCAGTTATCATTTTATAGACCAAAATAGTGGTTTGCTACTTAAAGCGTGATTTGAATTGGCTTATGCCAATGGCGTTGGCTTATGCCAATGGCGTTAACACGGCTTTCAAAGTGGAGGGGGTCAACCCCTCAATTTCTTAAATAAAATCCATAATTTCTAAAATAATTGCCTATATTTCTAATACAAAGAAGTCCTCGCAAAAAAAAAGTGGACAGGCCCTGGCTCCCTTGACGGCCATGTATCCATAGCGTGAGTATACCAACATTTCCTAAGGTATAAACTACTGCCAGAATGCAAAAACATTCTAAAAAAAATAATTAAGAAGGATTTCTAGGGATACCTACATAGAAAATAAAAAAAATTATCTGAAAATAGAACATCTGTCAAAAAACAAAATATTTTTTATATTGACAAAGATAAAAATAAAAAATAAATAAAGAATTCATACATAAATTGACTTACAAAAAATTTAGATAATTTAACTAAGATATCTGACCAATACAAAGTTTGGAGGGCGAGTCGGAGGAAAATTACTCTAACTGAATTGTTTTGTGACAAGTATCATTAGTTTAATAAGTGTGACAATTAGCAATAATGTAATTTCCTTACAAGTAAATAGTTTAAACAATTGTTTCCTGGTAAGGAAAGAACTATTCAAGAATTATTTCCTTGTAATTTTTTTTTTTTATATATACAACAATCATTATTATATATTTCAAAAACAAATAACATTTACATGTCTCCAGTTTATATAAATATTCCACACAAATATTTACAATATATAAAGAGCGTTAACAAGGTACAATATATAAAGAGCGTTAACTGTTTTACGCATGCGCGTTTGACATCGAGTTTAAATAATAAACTTAAAAATTTGTAATTTATAATATAAAGTGCTGGCTATTAACCCATGCATTCAAAAAATATACGCAAGTCCGTCGCACCACAGGGCTACTAGGGACTTGCTTGTCGTTGTCGTTAAAACTATTTATTAATATATATTAATAGTATTATGTAGCTGTAAGGAAACTCGCAGAAGACTAAGAAAAGTCTTTTCATCGAGAAATCGAGAACCTTTAAATTACAAAATAAACTAAAAGTTTAAAGAGTAAATCTATAAAACACACATTAACTTTTGAAGTCAATTGTAATATTTTACTATGAGTAGTTGCTAACTATATGTATTTATTATATTTTTTTTTTCAGTTTAGTTTTTATTTCTTTTTTATTTCTTTATTTATTTTTATTTATTTTATTTTTATAGCTTAAATTGTTCTTTTTACATTTTATTATATTAGTAGTTCTTTTATATTTAATTCATATCGATAAAATTGGTTCTGTTAATTATGAGATCTTTTACTTTTTTCTTCAAGGTAATAAGATTTTCCAGTTTAGTAAGTTCTATATTTTGAGGTATTATTTTGTTGTATAAATAGGGGCCACGGTATACAATTGAAAATCTCGAAAAATTTGTTTTTTTTACGGGCAACGTAAAGTTTCCGGTTCCTTGTGTGATATATCTGTTGGCGTTGGTTTGAAAAAAGTTATTAGTAAAATGAGTTGGGACGAGTCCCAACTCATTTTACTAATAAAATATTTTGGTAAATTTTACAATTACAATAAAACATTTTGGTAAATTTTAATTTGATAGATATTTAAATCAATCAAGTTTTTAAATAAAGGATCGGCATGAGTGAATTTATTTTTATTATAAATTAATCTTGATGCGTGTTTTTGGTGTATATATAGAGAACTTAATTTAGATTTGTTTGTACTTCCCCAGGCAATATTAGCATATGTTAGGTAACTTTGTATATAAGAAAAATAGAAGATTTTTAGATTCTCCTGGGAAAGTATAGGTTTGACCGATATATATAGTATACCGATACTTTTTGAAATTTTTGTATTTATTGTTTTTATAAGGGCTTTCCAAGAAATCGTTTCGTCAATAATTATCCCAAGAAATTTATTAATTTCAGTTCTTTCAATGTTTATGTTATCAATTTTTAATGATGGTAGAATGCCTGGTTTTTTTTTTTTTTTTTGCTGGTTGGAATGAAACAGTATGTATTTTGATTTTTCTGTATTTATTGATAATTCATTTACTTTAAACCAAACGTTTAGACTCTCAAAGTCATCGTTTGCAGATTCAAAGAGATTTTCAATTGATGGTGATGAATAAAATAAATTTGTATCATCAGCAGACATTATTGTATCGAGTTTTTTTAGTGATTGTGGAAGACCGCATTTTATTTTTAGGAAATTAGAATATTTATTATCGTTTGAAATAACACATTGTTGTCTGTTGCACAGATAACATTTAAACCAATCTAACCTAGTATTTTTTATTCCGTATTTTTCCAATTTTTTAAGTAAAATATCATGATTAACTGCGTCAAATGTTTTGGTAAGTTCCTAATACAAATTGCTTTTTATTAAAAGAATCACCTATGTTATTAACTAAATCTAAAATTGTATGTTCTGTTGAGTGCTGTGCTCGAAAGCCAAATTGTTTTTTATTTAAAAATTTTTCTTGAATTAGGTATTCATATAATCTTTTGTAGATTATTCGTTCAAGTATTTTAGAAAAGGTTGGAAGTATTAAGATTGGTCTGAATTGTTTATTAGAAATGTTTCACCGGTTTTAAAAATAGGTACAATTTTAGCTACTTTTAATTTATCGAGTACAGTTCCAGTTTTAATTGATGATTTAAATATTTCAAAAATAGGTTTACTTATCTCCGAAAAGACATTGACGACGATATTACTGTAAATGTCGTCTATACTTGGAGACTTGTTTATTTTAAGAGAGTTTATTGAATGTTCGAGTTCATCAATTTTAATATTACCTCAATTAAATCAAGTAAATATTTCCTTTATTTTAATAGTTTTTAATTAATAAAATGTGTTACTATGTTAAGTGGATTGTTATCAAATATAAATTTAGGTCTAATTTTGTAAAAGGCAGAGTTTGATTTAGTAAAGTCAAATTCAGTGAATTGCCACGATGCCAAATCAAGCAAAAAATCATGAATAAAATCGAAAGTTTGTGTGCTTGCTCTGTCTAAAATAATGTTGCGGCGCTCTGTGACAAGACCGTTAGGTCTTTTTGGGGCAACTGAAAATAACAAATACAAAAAAAAAAATACAAAAAAGATCAATATCAGTGAAACTCGGGTATCAAAAGGATTCTGCAAATCGTGTAGAATTACTTTGTGCAGGAAACAAGAGAGGAAAGAAGTTGCACTCCCTCCTTTGTTTGATTTTAAGTCAATACAAGTGAGACCTGAAACAAGAGGCATGATGTGTTGTTGCTAAATTAGTCGTTCAAAGCTGCAAGAAAAACATTTTCTTATAGACCAAAGCACTATTGAGAAAAAACCAAAGGTGCGTTGCAGCAAATGCCTCAGCCCTTTAGGAAAAGTTTTGCCCCCAAATAATGTTAAGGAAAGACATTCAATCTTTAGCAGCAAAAGATGCCAAATCATCTAAACAAATTGCATCTTGAGTTATTTCCAATAAAGACTTATCTCCGGAAGGAACTATTCTACTAGCTAAAGCATCCGTCGGGCCTCCACTTACAGCTACCCCTGTTAAATATTTATATTTAAACAATTTTAACATATATATTGAAATAAA